ACCCCGTCCTTGCGTCCGTCCTATTAATCACACCATGAACACATTTCTTACATTTGAACGTGCCTTCCACCTTTTTCAGTGCCCCCCTCACACCACTACATCTCTTTTGCACCCATTTCTGACATCCTATACACAATACCGAGTTAGCCTTCACTCTCCTATCACATACCCCACAGGGGTCTATTTTACTTATCACTCGCTCCCCACCTTCCCCACTCACCATTACCTTCGTCTTACCAATATTAACTTTCAACCCTTTCTTTTCAATAACACTTTTCCATCTGTCAAATTTTAACTGCAATTCTTCCATGCTATCAGCCATCAAGACTAAATCATCTGCATACAAAATCTCAAATAACAACCCCTCCATTATGTTTCCACACACAACATCCATCACAATTGCAAACAAAAACGGTGATAACACTGATTCTTGATGCACTCCTACCTTAACACTAAAAGCGTCCGATATCTCCCTTCCAACCCTCACCTTTGTCTTTTCCCCTTCATACAGCTGCATCACAGCTTTAACAAGTCTCTCATTCACTCCTTTCTTCCTCAGCGCCCATTCAATGACCTTCCTCGGTACTCGATCAAAAGCCTTTTCTAGATCCACAAAACACATGTACAATCTTCGTTTCTTCTTTCTATAATTCTCCTGCAACATTCTCACCATGAACAACGCATCCACCGTTCTCCTACCAGGCATAAACCCACACTGCATTTTATTAACTGTCACCATATTTCTCAACCTCCTCTCAAGCACCATCTCCACTACCTTCATTCCGTGCTCTAGCAATTTCACACCCCTATATGACTCACAATCTCTCACATCTCCTTTGCCCTTATACAACGGCACCAACACACTGTGTCGCCAATCCTCAGCTATATCTTCATCATCAAACATACTGTTAGCAATTCTCGTCATAACTTCAATTCCTATCACTCCACTCGCTTTTATATGTTCTGCCGCCACTTCCGAAACCCCTGTCGCCTTACCTAGTTTCATTTCTCTAACTGCTTTCTCTACTTTCTCCATCGTCACCTTCTCTATAGGTACGTGTGTGACCGCGGATTCCACATCTCCATCCCACTCATTCTCTTCATTCATCAACCTTTCCATATGAGCTTTCCACGCCTGAGCTTTTTCTTCCTCATCTATGCACAACTTGCCAGATCCATCCCAAACACATCCATTCCCTATAACATCTTTCCTATCCCTCATTGACTGCTTTGCTACTTTGAACATTTTTCTCGAACTCACATCAAATTCCATTTCCTTCTTTAATCTATCTGATGCAATATTGTAGAACACCTTTGAAAATGTTTGTTTGTTTGTTTTAGAGTACTCCAGTTGTTATCGTCAGCAATCCAACTGGCTCAGTCGGAAATGAGGTCAGGTCAATTAAAGAACACCAATCCTGTTAAAACAGGTCAGTTCAATTTGGTGTCAGATCAGAATGTTATGTCGTAGTCCTAATTATGTATATTATCCAGAGTGTGGGAGTTGTTGAAATAGGGGATTTTTGTCAGAGTCGAAATTTTTTAAAGGATCGGAGTTGGATATTTTTCATCCGAATCAGAAAAGTGTCGAGAAGTTTTAAAAAAATTTTTATTTTTTATTCTAAAAACATTTCTTCAAGATTGAATTTTTTTAGAAAATATATGTGTGCAGCGATACACAATCATTTTTAATACCTACTGGGAATAGATTGTAATAATGGATGTGATGAATAAAATCACCTATTTGTTTTAAAGTATGTTTTAAAATTTAAATATTGAGTAATATTACCAAGAAAAACAAGTACATATTTTAAGTGTTTTTCAAAATACCTTTCAGTTAATAGTGGCTTTTAAAAATTTTTCAAAATGCGCCTCTTCCTTTCATCAGAAAATTTTTATTGAAGGAGTCGGAAAATTTTTTACCGGACTTCAATATTTTGATGTTTTTATTCGTTTGAAACTACGTTCTGCTTAAAATTTTGCATTAAAAAATCCAAATACTAATTTTATTTATTTGTGAAGTTTGATATGTTTTTTGATAACGGTGCAGTTTTGAGAGAACTGAACAACCATTACAAGCAATGTTTGTGTGTCTGCCGAGATCTACATAACAAGGAGGTCTTGTTGAATGCAAGCAATTCATCAATTGCTGCTTCTATCACTGCTGATAAGTTGCTCTATTCACACGTTGTTCACATGGTTTGTTGGATGTCCTATGTTGTTGTGTGTCATCTGTTAGGTGTTGTAGTGGGTGTCACATGTTGTGCTATATGTGTATTATAAATTGGATACGGTTAAAATCAAATAATGAAAAAATCATTTCACAGTGCCAAAAAGCTGCTCTTGATGAATTATTTGGGAATCCACAAGAGGTTTGATTGATTTATTTGAACCATTCGTTCGAGGTATTTAGTAATAAAACTGATATAACTGAATAATGACATACCAGTGCATGAAGTTGTACAGAAAAGCTCAGATCATATTGCATGGCCTCATACAACAAGCCAGTGATAGTTCAGACATGCACCTACTCAACCAATGTTGGTTTGTTTGTTTGTTTGTTTGTTTGTTCGTTCGTTCGTTCGTTTGTTCGTTCGTTTGTTTGTTTGTTCGTTCGTTTGTTTTTTTGTTTGCTTGTTTGCTTGCTTGTTTGCTTATTCTATCAATGTTTTCTTGTTTGTTTATTTGTTGATGTATTTTATACCAAATGAATAATTATCTCTGGTTTTCATTTATATTTCATCTATCAGTATTCAAGTGGTGCTATGTTATGTTGTGTACAATATTTTCTAACTTATCGGCATTTTATAATTTTAGATAAGCAATCAGTAGAAAGACGTTTGATGCACTTGTACCGAAATCAAAATTCACTTGCCAATGACTGCAACGATAAGAATAAAAATGACTCCAAAATGTGATCAACTAAACTAGGAACCATCTAAAATAGTTAAGCTATGAAGGAAACAGATTATTACAAAACTTTAATTTTGTTCAAAAGAATTATGTAGCACTATTGCATTCTTATTTCTACATTTTATTTTTATTAATATGTGCATTTGAATTTTTCAGTTTCATCGTGTTAGAGTTATTTGAAGACGAGTCAGATCAATTGATTTATATATATGTGTGTGCGTGTGTTATTTTAATTAATTGTTGCAGCTGTTCTTGTTGTTATTATTGTTGTTATGCTTTGCCATTTAGCTCATTTAAATTTAATCATTGTTATGTCATGCAATCATTTATATTTATTCGTTGACGTGCCATGCATTTATTCAAAGTCATTCATCTATTGTCACTCTAACATGTCTACTAGAGTTTTAATGTTGTTTATTTGTAAATAAAATATGAATGATCTCATTTAAGATACCCGCCACATTTATATGCGTTGTCGAGTCGTTGTATTTTAAAAGTTTGATGGTGGAATTGTACTGGTTATCACTCTATTCAATGTTGTGGTCATTAACTAAATTGATATTTATTTTTATTTATTTATTTATTTATCAATGTATTCAATTTATTTTTCCATATTTTTCTTGACCTGGTGTTTTTGAAAATTTAGTCTGCTGGTATAAATAATATCTGATAGTTTCTATCTTTCCTTCAACCTTTCGTAAACTTCCATTTAATGGATCTTGTTACTGCTCTGAAAAAAAATTTCAACCGAATAATTGTAAATACGAAATAAAATTATTTATTTTATTAGTTATTTCCATGTGGTTCACGCAATGAGTTACTAATTTTTTAATAATTGAATAATAATTTCGTTAGTTAGCCGGTAGATTGGTTTGGTTGGTCTATCAATCAGTCGGTTGGTCTATAGATCACTCGGTTGGTCAGTCGGTTGGTTGGTTGGTAGGTTGGTTGGTTGGTTGGTAGGTAAATTTTTATTTTTTGGTTAAGACGCCAACAACGTGATGACAGATACATATTCTAACAACTTGCATTAAAATTACTGCATACTGGATTTCGAAACTTCATTCATATTCTATGGTTACAATAAAATTCTCATTTTCTACAAATTTGACTGAAAAATTTCAATCAAAATATGTAGCTAACTTTATTTTTTGCAGACATTTGTAAGGTTTCTTGTTTTAAAGTCATAAATAAATTTAGAATGAACATTTGCGATTTTAAACATCTGATTGCTAGTGTTATTTTATGCATGTGCTATATTGTTTATTTTAAAACACGCTTTTTATTATAATGCTTATTAATTCACGCGGTAGCTTATGAAAGTAGCAATTTAATTTTTTGTCGGTATTCCACGTTGATTTGATATTCGCCACTTTCATCAAGTAGCACACCTATCTATATACAATTTTACTTTCGTAAAATAATTAATTATTTTTTACTTAGATCAAGCTCATTGCTAATTATTATTTCTGTAATGCGTAATATTATTAATTCTTTTGTTTTAGCTGATAAATGTATAATTAACGTGCGTTAGATCATTTTGTAAGATAAAAATGATTGCCAATAAATAAAATTCCACAATTTCGCTTTACAAGTTTGTGATTTAATCATTTAATTTGGTCGTGTCTTAAGTGGGATGTACGCAAAAAAATACAATTCTTAACCGCCCTGATTGAAACAAACAATTTTCATCAACAGACACACAAACACACACATACACACACATTTGTGCTTTCTTGTTATTAGTTCATTTTTTCAATATTTTCATGTTTGTTAATTATCTTATTGAGGCTCATGTTAACGATTTATTCTGAGTTTTACGTACACAGTTATTCAATTCATTTATCTAACCAATATATTTTATATTATATATGTAAACTAGTCAATATTTTATTTTTAGACTTGTACAATCTTAACAAAAAGGTTGTTTTTTAATCTTTAGTTATGTATTTGTGCACATTTTTCAAATTTTTTCATCCTACTGACATTAAGTTTTGTTGCATATGCTTTTGATTTTGTTGATTAAAAATGTTTTGTTCATTTTATTTTCTATGGTCAAAATATTAAAATATCTGAAATTATCATCGTTAAAATGTCTCGTTGTTCAACGATTTTCTGACAATTCTCATTATGTGCAAGTAAGTATCATGCCCATGTAACTGTTTTGACGTGCCTTGCATTGACTTATTGACATCGAAAACGTATACCACATTTTGCACAGTTAGACAGAAGTTAATGATGGGGGAAATTAAAATCCTGTTTTGAAATTTGTTGTCGTTTTCCAGCAGCCAAACATTTGGGCTTTTTTCTGGGTTCAATTTATTCATCGACATCCATTTTTCAATGTTCAGTAGATCGTCTGATTTCTTATCATGTTCCCTTAATTCGCCACTGGACAACCTGTCAAAATTTGCCTGTCATCAAACGCGTGACGCTCAAAATTTGAATTTGTTGGCTGCATCTATAACGCCCAATCTGTATAACAAAAACAGGATTTGCACTAAATATTGGTACAAGTTGTGAAAAATTGTTGTAGAACTAGAACTAATATGATTTAATAAACAGTATTTGTTCTTTATACGTGAACAAGGCCGTAGCCAGGATTTTCATTTACAAAGAGGGCGATTTGCCAACAGAACCTTTAATTAATTAGTTTTAAAATCTTTGTCCCACCAACACAAATGTTCCAATTTTTATATCTAATTTAATTGAGCGACGTTGATTTTGGCCCAGTTTAAAACTTAACAATTGTACACTTGAATATAAGTGAATAGAAAACACGGCAAGCATAGCAAAAACGTTGAAACGTTGTTCATTCATTTGAACTGTTTTCTGAAACTTATTTTTCAGTATGGAAAAGCTTTTCTTAACTAGATGTTGAATTTAAATTGACAGAACTGCCATAATCAGCAAAATGTTTGGAAATTGATACTGCAATTTTTCAATGTTTCAATAGCATATTTTGATTTCTTCTTCGTGTTGCTTTTTTGAAGTTTCAGACTCACTAAAACTTGATCATCACAAAAGGTTTCCAAACATTTCATGCACTCAAAATACTTCACCCCAATGGTCTTAAAAATAATAAGTTATTCGACATAACAGAATCACACATCAAATGTGCATGTTCTTCTAACTACAATCTTTCATCAAAAAGTTAACTCGTCTTACACTCTCTACCTACCCCCATCTGCTTTACCCTACTATCATTCAAATACACGACACTCAATTCACGCTATTCGTTCCGAGCCACCGCCAATCTTACTATCATCCGCATTCTTTGTCGACGCCAACCTATGTATCTAACCCCCCACGAGTATATATATATATATATATATATATGTCTATGATATAACCCACACTCAGTTATCTTATAAAAATAACACAATCATAAAACACCACCATTCGTTTAATTTTTATTCTTTTATACAAATTATTATTATTCATTTAATTTTTGCATTCAGTTATCTTTCCATTTAAAAAATAAAATTAATTAAATAGTTTACCCTCTATGCTCATGCTTCATACCTCAAATAAATATTTTGGCGCAAGTTATTGTTTCAATTGAAAGGTAGCATAATTAAAAAATTTAGACAGTTTTGTGTTTGCTCACTGAATATTACAAACAACTTAGTTATAATTATTTGAAAAAATTGAAGTAAAGAAAGAAAAAAGGTTTTAACATAGAATACTGTTACAATTAAGAAGCTTAACAGTTTTGATGAAAACTTTAAATGAACTTAAACTTTTTACAACACATTAACATTTCAACTACATGGGTAATATGTCCTAATAAGTTCTAAAGCTTTTTGAAAACAAGTACTTCTGTCACCATTTCGCCTTTGTCTGTGCCATAAAAACTCATCCAGATAAGACAAAGTATTTGCATCACTTGTTCCTCTCATTCGCTTCAACTTGTCAGTCATACATCTCCAAAGATTTTCTACAATGTTTTTACGTGGACCAGTTGGAGCTACAAACAAAATAGATTGGTTATCAGTTGCACGCATTAACTTGTTGTATTCATTGCAATCCTTGCTGCAAACCGTTGTTCCTGAAAAAAAAAGTTTTTTCTAATCTTTTTCTACAAAAAAAAACAATCTCTAAATATTTTTTATTACCTGGCAATAAATGTTTCAACAGAATAGGCAATGATGTCTCAGCATTAGTTTCATATACTTCAACAAGAAATGTTTCCTTCGTATCTTGATCAATGGCACCGAAAACCCATTTTTCATTTAGTGGCAAAACAACTCCATTTCGAGATCGTTTTCGATGGGAGATCAAATTTTTGGCTATTAGTACTGTGTGTCCATGACCCCCAATTTGGATTGGATGATCCCTGATCCACCTTGTGCATAGATCTCTGAGCATACCAAACCAAGACATTACAACTCCAGTGCTCGATACCTTGAGAATTTCTTCTGTTGTTGCTTGGCTGACATCATTTAGAGACCAATAATATATGATCTGTAAATGAGGCAATAAAAAGCTACTATACTAATATGAAAGAGAAATTTCATGGCATTCTTCACTTACCATAATACATTTATTAAGTGGCACATGTTTATCTTTGAAGAAGCTTCCACATCGAACTCTCTTGGTGAGACGGCATGACTTTTTGGCGCACCTCCACCAGCATTCATCAATTGTTTTCTTAGTGATAGCAAATAACATTGGTTTGTTACAACGGTTGCAGATCTGGTGCTTGTACAGCAGCCCATAGGTCATTGCCCACCTCACTGCTCCTAATGGTTCATAAATGTCATGAATTAAATCTAATGAGCTAATTCCAACGACGGAGGGATAAATATTGTTTGCCATTAAAAATGCAACTTTGAGAAAAGTAATGTTGCAGCCAAAAACTTTTCTAAGAGGGCTCTGCTGCTTCTCTTGAGTGCCGGATGCACAAACTCAAACTGTAGATGTAGTTTTGTAGTGTTTGTAAGTAAGTACAGTACAGTAAATGATATGTGTGTGACAGTGAATCTGAATGGTTTTGTGTTTGTCAAATGCCTATGATTATTAATACAATACAACACAAAGAACTTTTTGCATGCTTGTAAAATATAAAATGAAATTTAAGTCCCGAGTTCTTTTGTTTCACTACGGCTTCGGTACGGTAGTGTCGGTGAGACGGGTTTTTATTATTTTATACTGTTCAAGTTATTTTTAATTTTATTATTATTTACATTTACTTTATTTATTTTATATTTATAAAAATTTATTTATTATGAAACAACCGTAAGTTAGGTTGGTTCAGCTTCAGGGGAAATGTTTATAATGGTAAAACGTTAACAACTCGACAAAATTAAATTTAAACATTTTACGGATTCAGTACAAAATTGTCATTCATCGTCGTTGGCGGATCACTTTTCACGGATCAGGATAAATCTTTTAATATATAAAAGCATAGGCTCTGTTAATTTACCAATAGTTAGTGATGCGCAGTTTCCACTTTTTAAAGTACCCTATTTTATTTTGTCATATACATATATGTAAAATAACATAATATATATTTTATATATATATATGTGTATAAGGTCTTTTATAAAGATGTATATATACATACATGTATATGTATATATTATATATGAATATAATCTCTCTATATATATATATATATATATATATATATATATATATGGTCATATACTACTATACGACCATATACTTACAATACATATACTCGTTTAATGCAACCTATACACATATATGTAGAATACAAAATTTAAGATTATTTGCTAAATTCAAGTTTTAAAATTATATTTAATACGAAATAGATAGTTTGATGAACATTTTACGATGTGCATTTATTTAATCTTGCTACATTGAAGATGGAGGATATAAAAAATATAATCGAACATGAATTGAACTCAGCAGCCAATTACGATATGAAAACAAGAGTTAGCAACCTAGAAAAAAATTCTTAAAGCAGCAGGTTAAAGTTGTAAAATCAAAACAAACAAAATAAAACTGTGGCTAAGCAATGAAACATGGAACCTTGTAGAAGAAAGAAAAAGTTTGAAAATGACAAAAAGACAGAGTGAAAAAAATAAGATGAAATACAAAGAAGTCTGCCAAAAAATAAAAAAGAGTGCTGGAGCAGATAAAAGAAGATGAATTAATAGTAAATGTGAAAAGGTAGAGACGATGATTGGGCAAAACAAGACAAAAGAGGCGTACCAGCCGGTTAAACAGTTAAAAGGAAAACAGAAAAATATGTCAAGGATTATTAAAGATATAAACGGAAACATCCTAACAGAAAATAAAAAGATTAAGGGTAGATGGACTGAATATATTAAAGACTTATTCACAGACAAGAACACATACAAAAAAACGCTTGAAATTTTGAAAAACGGAAAAATAATCAATGAAGAAGAAAGTGAAATAACTAGGAAAGAAATTACAAGAGCAATGAGTAAAATGAAGAACAACAAAAGTACAGGGAAGGATGGTATTCCGATAGAACTGATAAGAGCAGGAAGACAAGTCGTGTGTAAAGAAATTTACGCAATCTGTCAAGAAATTTGGGAAAGTGGAAAGTGGCCAGAAGAATGGTGCAAGTCAGTTCTGGTTATGCTGCCGAAAAGGAGAGACCAAAAAGACGGTAATAATTACAGATCAACTGCACTAATTCTGCACATATGCAAGATCATGCTGACCATCATAAAAGAACGACTGGTAAAGGTCATAGAGCAACATCTGCATGAAGAACAAGCAGGCTTCAGAAAAGACAGAAGCACGATCCAACAAATTCTGATGTTGAGACTGCTGATGGAGGATGCAAAAAGTAGCGGTCAGACAATTTACCATCGCTTTGTTGATTTTAAGAAAGCGTTTGATTCTGTCTGGCATGAAGGTTTGTGAAAGTATGGGACATCAGAAAAGCTGGTCAAAGTACTTGCGATAATTTTTTCCGCTTGCACTGGATTACAAGATGATGAGTGCGTGAATATATATATGTATATGGATACAAATATCGATGAATTTCATGATAATCAGGTTGCTTTACTGCCTTCTTGTTTTTTTTATCATTATTATCAATAGTTAATGCTTTAATTTTTTCACTATAAAGATATCGTAGTCTTTGAGTTTTTGTTGTAAAAGAAAACAAGTTCCAATTTATGAAGCGTCCCATGCAAAATTTCCAATAGTTAGTAACTTCAGAATTCACGTTTTCAATTGATCCAGCGTTCAAGACTGATTAAGACAGCTAGATGAGTGAGCACTTTGTTACTAAATCATCTCACCTTACATCATCACGATCATCATCACATTTATCATTTTCATCATTACTATAACCATTCACTCATTTAGTCATCATGTTATATTCAATTTTATAATCATGTCAGAGGAAGACTGGCGTGAACAGGACTAGACATCATTCGGTACCCGTTGGTTATGTCACCTCTGTTTCTTCGGTATGTTAACGTCTGGACTCTGGAGATCCTATTTTTTAACCTGTCTACCTAGTTGACGCCAACACAAGCTTTCACCATCTTTGTAGTCGTCTTCTGGACCCTTTCTATATCTTTGAACATATTTATAGTTCGCGGCCTCCAATCACCAACCGCATACTCTAAGTCTGACCGGTTTTTTGGTTTTGGGCTTAATTTTTTAAGCTGGTTTTTTAAAACCTTGTTACTCAATTTCTCTCTCCAGCTTTTTAGCTTTTTCAGCAAAACAACTTGTTCTAGCTCTCGGTTTTTTGTAACTCTTACAAATAATTCAATTTAAATTAATATAGGTTAAAATAAATTTCTGACTTTTTGAAAAAATTTTAGTTTATAATAATTTAAAAAATTTAAATATTGATCATTAATTTAATAGTATGTATGGTATAAGATAATTATTGAATTAAACTGCCAACAAATAATCGCTTTTGGTGCGTAACTATAGTAACGAATGCAGTTTTATTCTATGTATATGAGTTAATCTTAGCAAGTGCATGTCTTATTTTGGTTGAAATAAAGAAATATTCAAAAACAAATTATGTCCAAAAATTTAAAAAGATCAGACAGGTATTTATACAACTTTTATTTCATTTCCGTAATTTAATAACCTTTCTATTGTATCAATAAATCAATTGTTTGGGATGTGATTTTTTAAAATATATAGTTACTAAGTTATATATTTCATATTTATGTAAAATACGCGCGTGCATACGGACGCGGATACACATACACATACAACACTGTGTGTGTGTGTGCGCGCGCGCGCGTGCGTGAATAGTATATATATCAAAAAGAAGATCTATATCGTCTGCAAACCTGAGATCTTTGACAGTTCTCCTTCCTATGTTAATTCCACCCAGTATATATATTGCTTTTTAAATAAAACTTTACAGAAGAGCTTCATCACAAAAGTTCAAAAATTTGATAAACTTTTACGCAATTCTCTTCCTTGTCAGGAAGTAGATGGTTTTACATCGCTTGGATTGTTAACGTTGCAGCTGCCAACAAACAAATGAGGAAAAAATTATTTTTCAACCGTCTTTGAAAAATGATCAAAATTTAAAAATTTCAATTTTTTTTAATCCAATTGTTTGAATTCAAGTCGTTTTATTTTTAATATGCAAAGAAAGTTTGTAAGTTACGTATAGATCAGATCAATACGCGCATGCACACGTGGCACACGCACCACACACACACACACCACACGCACACTAACAACCACATACGCAAACACACATAAAATTTTCAGCACCTCAAGCATTAGCAAACATCAAAGAATTAAACCAAAGTTTTCAAACCAGCAGAAATATGATGTTGAAAAAACTTTTATCGGAAAAGATGATGTCATCCCATTAAACGATAGTCGTTTAATAAGAAAACTGCAGAATGAAAACAAAAGCATTCAGCCAAAAGTTAATGAATAAAAATAAATTTGCTCATTATTTTAATTTATTGACTCTCAAATTAAGAAATGAATTGTTTTTAACTATTATAAATTATTGGTTGAAAATGGGACACAAATCATTGCAACAATTTAAACACATGGTATTAGGTTTTTGACCAAGAAGGCCACGATGTGACCCCTAAGCCCTTGACCTTAACCATCAAAAAAAAATTGAATGGATTACAGGAAACTAATGAAATTGCAGTTGCCGAGAATGTTGAAGACATAAAGCATGTATCTAATATGGAAAAAAGTTTGGTGCGTGCCTAAAATTTAATTTTAAAATATTTATTCATAAATTATCATATAAAAGACGGTCTTTAACAACATCAGGACAGATCTTTTGTATCGGTCACATCTACTACATCTTCGAATGATTTACAAAAATCGTATTTTAACAACGCAAAGCGAACCTCGCACCCATTTTCAAGGTAGCTGTTTGTCTCGTTTGCTGTCATAAATTAACCTTCAGTCGAAATTTAAAAAAAAAATATTTTTCCATCTTTGTTTTTAAAGCTATAGCCTTCTTTGATTCAACTTTGATTTTCATCAATTAATTAATTAATTAATTAATTGGTAAATCGATTTATTAATTAGTCAATCAGTCAGTCAAATCGTTAGTTAACTACACTGATTGTTATTTTTGAGTAGAACAATATTTGGAAGTATTGTGGTAGCAGCCGGCCAAAGGGATCAAACTCTGGAATCTTTTGAAACTTTTCATAATTTTCAAACTTCAAGTAGGTAGCATTACTTTTTTATTTTTAAATAAACTTAAAAAAATTTAGCAAAGATTTTTTTTTTATTAGAAAAAGATGAAAAGTTCAAAGGAAACTTGATGTGGAAAAAAGGAAACATTGATGATGAAATTGAAGTACACCTTTCAGAAAGTGACAATGTGTCTTTGCTCGAGTTGCCATCTATCACGGTTCCACCATACGATAGCGAAGAAATGGAGAGAGTGACGCAACAGAATGAAAGATACGCTGAGGTTTGCTGCGGTTTGATTCGTTTTCTGCCATAAATTAATCTTTAGTTAAAATTTAAAAATAAATATTTTTTATCTTTGTTTTCAATTTTTATTTTCTTCTTTTCATGCTTCAAAAGTTTTTTTAAATCTCTGCATTTGTCAAAGTGAGATATTAAAAAATTTAGCGAACTGAAATAACTGAAACTACAATAGCTGATAACTGAAATAGTAGGCTAAACACAAGCAACAAATTTGTTGGTCTTTTAAGATGCGCGGTCATCTTCGAAATTATTTTCAACTTAATTTTTTAATTAACTTAAACAATTTTTTGTTCTCCAACCTACCTACATGTTTCAGCTCCTTAACAGAAAAGCTCAAGTTAGTTGATTGTTTGGTTCTACGTGCATTTTTTTCATTTATAAAAAAAAGCCGTTCACAATAAAATCAAACGACATTTTATGTACGATTCTTTAAATTTTTTAATTTATTTCTTTTAAAAAATGACTTTCTTTATCAAACCAGCTATCATTATCACGAGACAACAGTGACAAATACGTGAGTCGAAGCATGAACACATTCAACAATGGGTTGAAAGCAAAGTTCACGCAAACGGCCCTTCAACATTCTTCTGTAATTTTTAGACAACTTAGTATTTAGACAAAATAGTATTTTATTTTATTTTTGCTGTTATGTTCATGTGTGTCAAAGGATTTGCTCACTTAGAAGATTGATTATTAAATCACTATGAGGACCTTAATTTTTTAGAAGTTTGTTAAAAAGTTCAAGCAAAGTACTATGGTTCAGTTCCTATACTAAATGTCCATAACTAAAGAAATATATAAAATAGAAAGGACATATTTCAAATTCGAAAAATTTGTTAAAAATGAAATTGATTAAACTATTCCTCATTATAAAAAAAGACGGATTTTGTATTATACTAACATTGAAATCATAAATAAAATTTTACTTTTTGATTTATTATTATTCAGAACAAAGAGACTTATGTTTCAAAATGGGATCTGTACGACACCTACGAAACAAGTTGTATTCCTGCTTGTTATCAATATAATATTTTTTATAATAAATCATTTGATGTATAAAATTTTGTAGATGGCAGTACAATTGAGGATAGTTTTAATGTTGATAAAAATGGCGAAATAAAATTTTTGAACGAAAAAGATGATACAAGTATACATTTTCTTCAAAATGATGCTCCACTGGATTTCAATGAAATTCTTAACGTTAGTTGGCCAAAAAATGCTATTTATTTTTTTGTAAGCCACTTATAAATAATAAATATAAGTGATTTGCAAGACAATTAAGTTATAGAGACTTAAACGCTACTATATTTTAATTCCTGTTAAATTCAATGGTCCTACGTTTATCAATTTTATGGCATATAGTCAATCACGTTACTCATCTTAAAATATCTTCAACACTTGATCTGATGTCAATGGTTAGATGTATAAAAATAATTCCACTTAATTTTTTTATGATAATTCATTTCAGAAAGCTGCATTCAAATATTCCCTCCTCGTGCTTGAAAGGGCCATGCAGATGAACACCAGCCAGAACAAACAAGCCGCGTACCTGATGCTTCCAGGAAGTCATTTCACGGACGAAGGTGCGTTCATTGGGGTTTTCTGACTCATACTGGATGCACTATAAAAATTTGTTTGCATTTATTAAACCAAAACTGAAAATTTTTCTACTGTGCCTCCCAGTTTTTTTCAAGGAAGTATAAACAACCAGTAAGCGCTTTTCATCAATCAATCCAATCAATTAGCTATAAAGGCCTATTTTCCGCGATGTTCAACAGCGCTCCTCAATAAATTTTGAAAACAGATGGGTCTTGAGATCCGCTCTGAACTTCGCAAGTGATGGAGAAATAGTTAGAGAAGTAGGTAGAGAGTTCCAGAGAAAAGGACCAGAAAAAGCAAAAGCAGATTTGGCAAAAGAGTGTTTAACACGAGTTAAGAAAAAGCGAGAAGAAGAAGACGATCGTAAACCGGGGCGTTTAGGGTCAATTAATATATCTGATAAGTACTTAGGAAATAATTTAGATTGAGACTTATACATGAACATGCAAATTTTAAAAATTATTCTATATTTTATAGGTAGCCAGTGCAAGAGAACAAGATATGGAGATATATGAGAAAAGAAAGGGGCACGAGCAACTAGACGAGCAGCAGAGTTAAAAGCTTTACTTAAAGGATAGAGTATAGAGTCAGGAAGACCATAGTAGAGCGAGTTACAATAATCAATCCTAGATAAGACTAACGAAGTAACAAGAAGGAGAAGAGTAGGATCATCAAGAAAAGGCAAAAGTTTTTTTATTCTACGTAGATGAAAGTAAGAACTTC